CAGCAGGACCAATGGCATCGGCCACACCTGGGGAAATCTCAATTTGGGGAGCCTCAGTTTGCTGGTGAAACTTTCCAGAGTGGGCATAATAATAGCACCTGCCTCCTAGACTGAGACTGATGTACTGCTTAGCACAAGTGCTAGAAGGAGCTCAGGAATTGTCATTTATTTTGACTTTGCTAGACCCCTGCAAACGGGTGTTTTTGAATTGGGTCATCCTTCTTAAGTGTCACTTTTGTGTGTATATGTGTGATTTTTAGCTCCCTTTAAGGGTCTCAGAGACACAGGGGTTCTAGAAAATAGATGAGACTGGCCTAGGAAAAAGGAAAGGAAATCCACCCAGAGTTTTGGCCTCCCACCCCTCCAAGCCATAGCCGTTTCCTTCCATTTTTGCCCCTTCCCTATGGGCATGGCTTCTTGAGGGCTTGAACATATGTCTCCTGCATGGTCTGCAACCTTAGATCTAGCCATCTGAGAAGAAGTTGTCATTTGTCCAGTCTCAGGTCATCTACTTATACTCAGGCGGCCCCTTGCAAAGCCAAGGGCCCATGCAAGGGCGGGACCTCTGCCATGTTCTGGGTTCTCTGTAACATTACATCTCGTCTCTGTCACTCTCATCCACAGGGACCTTGGACTCTCCTCCCCTATGTCCTTCTCCCCCAAACTCCTTAAACTGTCCCCAAGCTCTTTCCACTACTGAGGAGAGTATGCTCATACCCAGGAGAGCGTGATCCTACCTCTTTCCGCCCTCTGGACTTTCGGGGAAAGAAGCTAGTTATGCAACATTTAAAAGCATGATTCTGGAACTTCTGTGAGAGCATACTATGAGTGTTAAAACCCTATAAGATCCCCCAAATCCAAAACCTTTCCCTGAATCCTGAGTCTTCCAATAAATTGCTGCACCAGAAAGATGAACCAGGTGTATCATGCCTTTCATACTCATAGGACCACTCCTCGTGCACCTACCCTACTTTGAGAAATACCTCATACTCTTCATACTGCTCTCCAGGCCCCCAGTAAGGATTCCAGCCCCGTCGCATCTCCTTTTGTCCTCTCCTCGACCCTGGGATCCCAGGTTCCAGCTGCACTGGGTGCTGGCTTGTTCTCTTTCCTCCCAGGCTTCAGAGCATCTTACCCTCTCTTACTCACTGTCTAGAGCAGCCGTGGACAAACTACGGCCCACAGGCCGGATCCGGCCCGTTTAAAATGAATAAAACTATTGAAAAAAAAGACCGTACCCTTTTATGTAATGATGTTTACTTTGAATTTATATTAGTTCGCACAAACACTCCATCCATGCTTTTGTGCCGGCCCTCCGGTCCAGTTTAAGAACCCATTGTGGCCCTCGAGTCAAAAAGTTTGCCCACCCCTGCTCTAGAGACTGAATGAGTGTGAATATCTCCCTGTATCAAGCATAGACTGGCTCTGGATAGGATCTTTTCTCAAGGTACTCTGATGGTCAGGGAGCACCAACGTAAGACCATCAGTTTCGGGGTGCTGTGCAGTCTTGGTGGGAAGTCTTTTGCCTCTTTGGGAAGAGGTTAACCAGGTCACGGATCCCTTGGACCCCATCTAGTCCTAAGAGTCTAGTAGCACAGACCAAGCAATCCATCCAACTTGGTTGTCAAGGCAACAGAGACACTAAATGGTCCACAAATGGCAGAGCTGGTTATTTATCTGACAGCAGGTGGTCAGCTATGAAGATGTGGGTCCCTTGGTCCATTCAAGAAATGGACATGGTGAACCCAATCAGGCCCTAAGCTAACAGGATAGAAGTGCAAAGGTGATACCAGCTGTTGAATAACTAGTATGGGCCAGGCTTTGTGCTTGATGCTTCGTACAGCATTTATTCACTTCATCATGCATCCAATACCTATGTTTTGGTATTTATGCTATGACCTGTGCTTAGAGTTAGGAACCCAGAGATGAATCAAGTTACCCTCAGTCCAGTGAGAAAGATGGACAAGTAAGTGGTCTTGTGCCATGATAGAGTGCTCTGGGCCCACGGAGGAATAAATGGCCACCAAGACTGATGGGACAGAGATGGCCTCTCCAAGTAGGGGTGCCTGAGCTAAGGCATGAAGGGTGAGTAGCCACTATCCAGGCCGAATGAGTGGGGTTGAAGGGAAAGACTTTCTAGAGGGATGAGCTTACAGAAACAAAGGGGGATAGAGTGGGAAAATGAATGAATGAACAAACGAACTAATAGCAGACCTGCAGGTAGTTCATTCTCGCTGCTATGGAGGAGTAGTGAGAAGTGAGGACTAGTGAGAAATGTGATTGAGAAGTACGCAGGAGTTAGTTGGTAAAGAATCTTGAGTGCTCTACTGAAGAGCTCAGAGATTGCCCTATAAAGCTCAGGGAGCCGTGAAAAGATTTTACATGATCACTTTTGAATCTTGGAATGATCCCTTCATTGATTCTGTGGAGACTACGGAGGGTGGGACAGGACTAAAGGGAGGGATCCGGCGGGGAGGCTGCTGTGGTTCACCGAGTAGGGAATGATGGTGGCTAAACCCAGGGCTGTGGGGCTGGAGGACAGGGATAATTGGGAGCTATGAGCAGACAGAACCAACAGGTCCTGGTTATGGCTTGGATGAAGAAAGAGGAGTGAATCTAAGATGACTGCCAAGTTTCCCAGCTGGGGTTGTGGGGTGGGAGTGGTTGGTGACACCAGTCTCAGAGCTGGACAGCGCAGGAGGAGGAAGGGGCTTGTTGGGAAAGATGATGAGTCCATTTGGGGACATAGTGAGCTTGAGGTGCCTGGGAGAACCCAAGGAGGTATCCAGTCGGCAGCTGGAAAAAAGTATCTGGGTTGGACTGAGAGATTTTGGAATTCACAGCACACAGTGTCGGGGGGCTTGGTATCTGGGGTCATGAATGAGGTTGCCCAGGGAAAGTGATGAGGGCAGAACTGAGGGGAACACCAGCATTTAGGGATGGACAGAAAGATGAGGAACTGATTCTGAGTGGGAGTGACCAGGAGGTAGGAGGGAACCAGGAAAGAACATCATGGAAGCCAATAGGTGGGTTTCATATCATGAACCCTACAGCCACCCGCAGTATCTCTTCTTCAGAGATGGGGAAATTGAGGCTTCAGGAGAGTAAGACTAAGGATCTTGCAGCTGGTCAGTGGTGGAGCTGGGATCTGAACCAAGGTCTCTCTAATTGCAAAATCCAATAAGCTGTTTCTACTATATCATGTTTAGCAACACAGGGTTTGGCACAAGTAGATGTTCCATAAATGTTTGCTGGACAGATACTGTTAGCAACAAGAAATGCTAAAAGATTTCCACAACAAGCATAAAGACCCTCGAGTGTGCCTGGGAGCATGTCCACAGAACGGAAGCGGCTTAGAACTTTTTATAGCATCGCAGACATGGTGATGACAAAGGCTGGCCTTCCTTCAACTGCTCTGTTAATGATCTTTTAAAGTCCTTTCAGAGCAAGTGGGTTTTTTTTTTTCTTCTTTCCATTCTTGCTTGCAAACGAAGGATGATTTTAGAATCCAAGCCTTTTTTATTTTGCTAAAGTACATGATGAGTAAAATGGCCTCCCAGTCAGCACTTTCCAATTTTGAAAGATGCTAAAAACTGATATTTAAAAGCATGCTTCTCTTCTTTATGCTTCAAAGGGTCTTGAGGCCTGTTGGAGAGTACAGGATGAACAGCGGGAAGGTAGCACCACCTGCAAGGCTGTGCCTCACTGCAGAAGGCAGGAAGTGATGGGGGAGGGGGTGGGCATGCAGGCCAGGACCCAGCTGGTCTGGTGGCTGCACAGCACGGCCTCCTTCAGCCTGTTCTCCATGGGATAGGGCCCAGCCTGGGTCCTCACCCCCTGGAAAGCAACCAAGAGCCCCTTACCCTGACCTGAGAGGGATCATCAGAGAGTAAATGTTTGTTGAATTAATAAATGAGTCACAGAAGCTGTTGTACAACTTATACCTATTAACCACATTGAAATAATGAGAAAATAAATAACCACTTATAGAGCATTCGAATATAGATTTTCCTTTGAAATGAAGATGGGCCAGGGGAAGGTTATAATACTGGATAGTATTTATTGGACAGGAGCCGAGTTAAGCACTTCATAAGGATTATCTCATTTAGTGCCCCCAGCAACCCTGTAAAGCAGGTATCACCATTATCCACAATTTGCAGATCAGGAAATTGAGGCTACAGTGGAAAAAAGGTGCCACCTGAGGCCACCCTTAAAGCCTGTTGGTAGAGCTGATATTTGAACAAAGCTCAGAACTCAGGCTCTGAAACTTGATTGGGAAGCTTTGTGGATTCCAGGAAGGTAGAAAAGTCTAGAATAAGTGGCAGGGGCAGCTCAGCTGGGTCTCATATCTCATTTGTGCAGACACCATCCTGGGCACCTAGGAAGCTCCCTTCCCTCCTCTGGCCTCAGTTTCCCTGCATGTACAGTGCAGAAGATTAGACACTGTCTCTGCACCCTGCAGAGTTTGGAGAAGAGCAGGGGAGAGGCCAAGGCCCCTTAGAGCTGTCAGCTTTAGCCTCCAGCCTGTGCAGACTTATCCTACGGCTTGCCCAGAGACCAGGGAGGGCTGACAGCAGGAACCAAGGGAAAATTGGCCCCAAAGAGGGCCAGAGAATCTGAGGTTTCCCTGCCTGCCCTGCTCAGGCAGAGCTCTTGGCTTGGAGCCTGGGGTGCACAAACATTCTCTGCCCATAGCCTCAAGCACTCTGGGGCAGTGATGGTAAACCTATGACACACGTGTCAGAGGTGACACACGAACTCATTTTTGGGTGATTTTTCTTTGTTAAATGGCATTTAAATATATAAAATAAATATCAGAAATATAAGTCTTTGTTTTACTATGGTTTCAAATATCAAAAAATTTCTATATGTGACACGGCACCAGAGTTAAGTTAGGGTTTTTCAAAATGCTGACACGCCGAGCTCAAAAGGTTCGCCATCACTGCTCTAGGGTGTGCCATCATCCACTCACCTTTACATACCTGTCCTTCTGTCCACAGGGCAACGACGTGAGGATCATCCTGGGCCAGTTTGACCAGCATATGGCAGCAAAAGTGTTCTGTTGTGTAAGTAAAACTTTGATCACGTCTTTGTGTCTTTGGGAAATTTCACAATGTTTTTTCTCCGACTCATTCTCACTGCCTGATCGGTGAGTGAGGTCCTAGGATTGGAGTCTGGAAGCAAAAGTGTTACTCTCACTGTTCTTTCTTCTTTTCATGGAGCTAAAACCCCAGGGCTCAGAACAATGCCATCGCAGAAGGAACCAGTGGCCGTCGTTTACCAAATCCACGGCCTAACCTGGTGGGTAACCTGCTGATCCTAAGTCCCCTCGACGCAGCCATGCTCAGCAGAGGCCTGCAGTGTGCAGTGTGCAGAGGGAGATACCACGTACGGGGCAAGGCAGAGCTGCCTCAGACCCCGCCCTGCCCTGTAAGCAGGGCTCAGGGTCTTAGCTTTAGAGTTAACTGTCAACTATGCATTATCAACCTCTGAATCCTTTACAATTGTCTGGTGTGTGACAGGTGACAAAGTACTTTTTTATACCTTATCTCATTGAATCTTTCCAATAACCACATGAAGCAACTATCATGAGCTCATTTTACAGATGAGGAAATAGAGGCCCAGAGAGCAACAGGGGCTTTTCAAAAGCCATTTGCCAGTTCATGGCAGAGCTGAGGTTCATGTCTATTCACCTGTTGCCCATTGGATCCTCTTTTCCGTATGAGGTTCTAACCTCAGTATGTATAGGTGTTCTAACACAGGAACTCAGTCTTTCCATCTTGATGCCCTGGCTCCCCCGGGTCTGCCCTGAGTCAGGAGAAAGGTCAGCAGAATGAGAGCCCAGTGATGTGAGTCGTCATCGACCCAATAGGCTCTTCCTCTTAGACTGAGCTTATTTTGGGTGTAGTCTCTAGTGTTGGGCCACAGGCCTCTATTTCCTTGAACTTTTGTCAGTAACTTGGACAAATTATAAAAAGCAGGCATGTAGGAATTTTAGAAGTTGTGATATATGTGGGATGACAGAGTTGGGGTGCAAAGAACCTTAACAGTCTGGAACATTTGATTAAATCCAAGAAGATTAAATTTAATTGTCCTAACAATAGGCTATAGTAGAACAAATCAAGCCGCCTAAGTCCAGGGTGGTAGAGGCATAACTGAGGAGTTCTGTATGTTGAGAGCAAAAGAGACATTGGGGTCCTTGTTGACTTCAAGGTTACTATGAGTCACCAGTGTACGCACAGCTGCCAAAGGAGGCAAGGTGACCAGACTGCATGTCCACACTCAGGATGGGTGGTCCCTCTGCTCTGTGCGGGACAGACTCTGCCTAGGATGTCCAGCTCAGCTCCTGGTGCCTGTTTCAGACCAGATGCAGGAACTGAAGAGGCTGGAAGCAAGGAGAGAGCAGTGGCTGGAAGCCACAGTTGCACAGCGATATTTCATCCTGAGGGCCCAGGGGCAAAGTGAGAAATGCCTGATCATCTCCCGAAATCCCAGGGAGGAAGGAGAAGCTATGAGGCTGACATTTCAGGAGATCCTGGGTGGAGCTGAGAGCTCTGGAGTCTGTCTGCTTGGACTTGAACCCTTGCTCTACTTCTTGGTTACTGAATTTGGTCTTGTTGTCACTTTCTGAGCCTGTTTTCTCACCTGTAAAGTGGAGATAATAATAACAGCTGTCTCATAACATTGTTGTGAAGATTAAATGAGCAAAAACACTGCATAGCACCTGATTCAGATAGGGAGCCCAGTAAATGTCAGGGGTCTTTTTAGTTTGTCATGGAAGGTCTCAGGTGTCTAAAGGACTGCCAGTGTACTGGAGAGTTTACTAACTGATGGACTTTACAAGGTTGTATTAAGCATCTTATGTATCTGTTAGGCATAACGAGTGGTCATTTCATATGAAAACCTAAGGAGGAACATGAGAAAAATTTTAAAGACAGCAAATTGATTTAATACATTTTACTTCAAAAATCATAAAACCTTATACATTTACCACGTAGGGTCCAGAAATAACCCATTTTGGAAAGGAAAATAATTGGAGATGTGATCTCTTTTAGGGAAAAGGCTGCTTTCCCTGCCCCCTTCAATATCCCCAGGTCTTGAAAGCAGCTGGCACATGGTGGGTAATAACTCCAAGAAATATAAATTGTAATAAAAATGGTCAGTATAGGCACCGCACTGAGCACTGGCCACCTCATATTTGCAAGAAATGCAGATACTGTAAACCTCATGTTCTGATTTGAGCCAAACTGGAGCTCAGGCATGACTGTGATTCCCCTGTGTGCCATGCACTGGGATTGTTTTCTGAGTAGCATTTCCAGCCGTGGCTTCGCTTCAGAACAGATGGCGTGGCTGTCTCTCTCTTGACCCAGAGCCCCAGGCTGCCTGCCTTCCACATGGCATGGGACACCACCCTACCTTCTCACCCCACTCTTCTCTTTCCTTTTATTGGATTTTGATACTTTCAGATGGGCCTTCCCTTAGCGTCTTTGCTGGCTGCTTTGTTCATGCAGGAGTTTCTCAGAGGTCTAGGGTGGATGTTTATTCCGTGTGTCAGACTCTCAGATGGATCTGCCCTCCAGCCGTTCAGTCTTATCTGGTTAGGAAGGAGTTTTCTGGCAGGTCTGGAAGGTCCTGAGGGGAGTGTACTCGGTGTCTTCACAATGGATCACGACTGGGGTGTGTGATGGAGGGGTGGGGTTTGCTGCTCAGAGCAGAGACCCACAGAGAGAGCCTTCCTGCCCATGTCGGGGACAGAGCACATGCTGCATGGAAACACTGTGTCCCTGCCATCCAAATGCCGCAGTGCAAACTTTGCAGCATGTTGCTGTGTTCTTGAGATTGGAACTGCCACCCAGTGGGCGAGCAGGCTCCAGCAAATGTAAGGCCTATTTATAGCCCTGTGGCAAAATGTTCATTTTGGCTCCAGCACAGTCCAAGCATAGCATGGTGCTTTTGTCTTCTCCCTCCTTGATGGTCTGGTGTCAATTCTCCAGCACTCTGACCTGGGTTCTGGTTTTAGCTCTGCCAGCTGTGTGACCTCGGGCAGGTCAATTTGTATCTTTAATCCCTGGCTGCCTCACCTCTAAAATAGAAGCAATGATCTCTGACCCGTCAACCTCATAGAGTTCTCAAGAGGCTTAAATAAGGCCACCGAAGGGAGACCATCGTTCCAACTATTAACTGCTTTACTGATGTGAGCATTTCTAACAGTATTTTAGTAAACTAGATATTATAGGGAAACTAGGGGCCAGTGCACGAATTCATGCACCTTGAAAGGAACTGCGGGCCATGAGGCTGTGGTAGGCACAGGGGCAGGTCTCGGCCCATCTTCCGCGCCCCCCTCCCCTAACCCCTCCCGCTGCAGCCCCCGGTCCCCTGTCTGCAGGCAGCCCCATCACACCCCCACAGCTCCACCCCCTGATAGCGCTGAATGATCTGGACCAGCGCCGGGCACCGGCAGCAGGTGCAAGTAGCAGCTCCGGGGCTGGCTGCGGGTGCGAGCAGAGCCCGTGCTGGCAATAAGTGCAAGCGCCAGGCAGGACTGCAGCATGCGGGAGCAAAGAATTTTCAGTAACCACCAGAGGCTCGCCCTGATGATAGTGACTGGTGCCCTGCCTTGGTCTGGTGCGCCTGCTCACCTGCTCCACAATCCTGTCGCAGCCAATGCCTTCCATGCTCTCCACACGCCCCCTGGTGGTCAGCGCACGTCATAGCAATCAGTTGTTTGGTTGTTCTGCCATTTGGTCTATTTGCATACTAGCCTTTTATTATATAGGATGTTCTTTGTGTATGGGGAGGAGAGGAGGCAAAAGGAAGATTAATAAAATAAGAAATGGGATTTTTAAAAAATTTCTCATCATGGTTCCCTGTCTATAGTTAATAGGAACCAAAGCAGTTCATGGGACTAAAGAAGGTGAGCTTAGGACCGCCCGTTGCCATATGGCAGGGCCCATTTGGTGGCTCGAGATCTTGAGACCACATTCTTACCAGAGGCAGAGAAAATGAAAACCCAGGTGACCAAGTAAACGGGAAATGTGTTCATTCAGTCACTCCACATTTGTTGGGTAACCTCTGTACACAAGGCACCATGCTAAGTACTGAGGACCCTGGGAGGAGCAGACACCACCCTCCAAGAACTCCCCATCTGGCAAAGGAGACAGCAAAGCATACCAGTAGCTACTTAGAGCTCACATATCCAACAACCTCAGCTCTTTTGAACGTGGGAGTCCCAGCGGCTTCTCCATAGTTGCTTTACAGTGGGTGATATATTTAAGTCCAGTCTACCTCCCTTTTAGACCCTCACCAAACCTATTTACTTTTGCTCTATACATATGTTTAATAGTCCTTTCATTCCAAGCCCATACCAGTCTAAAAGCATCAGCAAGAGGGACTTGATGACCAACAAATCAACAAACAACAAGTGTTGGAGAGGATGTGGAGAAAAAGGAACCCTTCTGCACTGCTGGTGGGAATGCAGACTGGTGCAGCCACTGTGGAGAACAGTATGGAGCTACCTCAGAAGACTAAAAATGGAACTCCCATTTGACCCAGTGATCCCACTACTAGGAATATATCCCAAGAAACCAGAAACGCCAATCAGAAAGGATATATGCACCCCTATGTTCATAGCAGCACAATTCACCATAGCTAAGATTTGGAAACAGCCTAAGTGCCCATCAGCAGATGAGTGGATTAGAAAACTGTGGTACATATACACAATGGAATACTATGCTGCGGTAAAGAAAAAAGGAACTCTTGCCTTTTGCAACAGCATGGATGGAACTGGAGAGCATTATGCTAAGTGAAATAAGCCAGTCAGAGAAAGATAAATACCACATGATCTCACTCATTTGTGGATTATAGAGAACAACATAGACTTATGAAAAGGGACAGACTCAAAGACTGAGAAACAGCAATCAGGCTATCAATCCCCAGAAGGAAAGTAGGGGAGGGCGGGGGTAAGGGGAAGAGATCAACCGAAGGACTTGTATACATGTATATAAGCCATACCAATGGACATGGACAACAGGGGGATGGGAGCATGAGTGTGTGTGTGGGGGAGGTTGGGGGTTAATGGGGGGGATGAGGACACATTTGTAATACCTTAACTAATAATAAAAAAAAATAAAAAAAAAAGAGGGACTTGATGACAGTGAAAAGTGACTATCTAGATCTGACAGCTAGAAAGAAGACAAAGCCATAAAAAGTGGATCCTAAACTCCAAGTTAAACAGTCCAGGGCCATTTGGTATTTGGACCGGTTTTCTTTATTCCCATGAGCATCACCATCCATGGCCCATAATAATGACTAATGTTCACAATGAAACTCTGAGTTACCCAGAGGACAAGGGAACGAGAAGGAGCAGCTCAATGTTCCTGAGTGCAGTGTTGGACAGGCCTGGTACACATACTATCTCATTTAATTCTTACGCCAACCCAGTGATATGGGCTATGCTTTCCACAGCCTGTAGATGAGAAATGCGAGGCCCAAGGTGTTGTTTGCTAGTTAAGAGCGGGTGTAGGGCAAAGAATCTTGAGCTGCTTGACTATAATCTTTTTTTTCCCCCAGAAAGTCAGGTAGACAATTTTTTATCTTCATAAAATTGACTAATGTTCTAAACAAAGTGTGGTGTCACTCAAATGGACTAAACTTCTGTTTTCTGGAAAATTCACTCACAAGGAGCAACTCCTAATGGACGGTCAAAGAGCTTTCACTGCGAGGCTCCTGACTTCATGCTCAGTGCTGCCTCTCAGTTACCACATGGGCTCTGTCCTCGGAGAGTAATGAATATCTGACTAGAAGCCCTCCTCCTGTCCTTGCTCTGTATTTATGGGATCTTATTTAATGTACATTCCTAGTAAGTGGGGCTGTCTTCTTGCCTCAACCTGTTAAGATTGAGAAGGCTTCCCAAAAGTTTTGTTTTGTTTTATTTTGCTAAAAATGGAGGGGAATTTCGAAAAAATGGACTTTGAATCTACGTAGAAACTTCATTCTGGACCCAATTTTGATGGCACATGACATTCCCACATAGTAGCATTTTCTGGGTGCATCTAACCCAGTGGTTCTCAACCTTCTGGCCCTTTAAATATAGTTCCTCATGTTGTGACCCAACCATAAAATTATTTGCGTTGCTACTTCATAACTGTAATGTTTCTACTGTTATGAATCGTAATGTAAATATCTGATATGCAGGATGGTCTTAGGCGACCCCTGTGAAAGGGTCGTTCGACTGCCAAAGGGGTTGCAAACCACAGGTTGAGAACCGCTGATCTAACCTATCAAAAAGTATGCTTTTCCTAATCTAAAATTATCACAATGAGAACCAAAGCTGCCCTAACTGGTTTGGATCAGTGGATAGAGCATTTGCCTGTGGACCAATGGATCCTGGGTTTGATTCCGGTCAAGGGCATGTACCTTGGTTGCAGTCTCCTCTCCAGCCTGGGCTCTGGTCAGGGTGTGTGCAGGAGGCAACCAATCAATGTGTTTCTCTCCCGTTGATATTTCTCTCTGTCTCTCCCTCTCTCTCTCATTCTTTCTATAATCAATGGAAAAATATTCTCGGGTAAGGATTAAAAAGTAACAACAACAACAAAAAACCAACAACAGCCGAACCGGTTTGGCTCAGTGGATGGAGCGTTGGCCTGCGGACTGAAGGGTCCCAGGTTTGATTCCAGTCAAGGGCATGTACCTTGGTTGTGGGCACATCCCAGTAGGGGGCGTGCAGGAGGCAGCTGATTGATCTCTCTCATTGATGTTTCTAGCTCTCTGTCCCTCTCCCTTCTTCTCTGTGAAAAATCAATAAAATATTAAAAAAAAAACAACAACAAACACCAAAGCCAAATAGAGATCCAGTAGAACAGTCTGTTGATTTTTTTTTTTTTAATGGTAGGAAGGCAGTGTGGTTTTGCAGCATAATAGTCAGCAGACCTAGGTTCTGGGCTGACTTTTCTCCCTGGCTGTGTGACCTTGAGAAAGTGACTTTCTGTCTCTGATTTTTAGTTTCCTCATTTCAAAAATGAGGATAATAAATTCTGCTCTGACCACCTCAAAGGATGAACATGAATGACAAATAAGATGTATGTAAAGCATACAAATGTAAGGGACTTTTTTTAGGATTGGATTTATGCACACCAAACTTTGAGTAAAGATTCAGAGACTGGAGGAGAGAACCAAGATGGCGGCATAGATTAACGCCGGAGTTTGCTGCCTTGAACAACTACTTCAAAAGTGAAACTAAAAAACGGAACGGACATCACCCAGAACCACAGGAAGGCTGGCTGAGTGGAAGTCCTACAACTAGGAGGAAAGAGAAACGCATACGGACACTCAGAGGAGGCGCAGTGCTGAAGTCAAATTCTGAGGTGCGGAGTGCGCGGAGCGGGCTGGCGGCAGAGGGCGCGGTTGGCGTTTTCAATCGGGAGGGAGTCGCAGACTCTGAGCTCCAGATACAGGCGAGTCTTTAGGGACCCAGACTCAAACGGGAGAAGCGGGACTGTCTGGCTTCGGTCAGAGCGAGTGCAGCTTTCTCTCCAAGGTTTGCAGCGGGTGCTGGGACTCGGAGAGGCAGAGCCCCTGGGGACAGGACTGAGAGCCACCATAACTGCTCTCTCCAGCCCACCCTGTTGATCCTGTGCGACCCGCCCCGCCCAAGCCCTGCACACAGGCATTTGCCGGATAGCCTCAGGCAAAGGCTAGATTAGCACCTCCCTAAAGGACAGAAGTTCTCTCACTGCAGACACAGCTGATTCTCATAGCCACTTGACCTGGAGGTCAAACCCTCCCTGGTATTAGCTACAACAATCAAGGTTTAACTATAAGACTGCGCACAAAGACCACTAGGGGGTGCACCAAGGAAGCATAACAAAATGCGGAGACAAAGAAACAGGACAAAATTGTCAATGGAAGATATAGAGTTCAGAACCACACTTTTAAGGTCTCTCAAGAACTGTTTAGAAGCCGCCGATAAACTTAGTGAGATCTACAAGAAAACTAATGAGACCCTCGATGTTATACTGGGGAACCAACTAGAAATTAAGCATACACGGACTGAAATAACGAATATTATACAGACTCCCGACAGCAGACCAGAGGAGCGCAAGAATCAAGTCAATGATTTGAAATGCGAAGAAGCAAAAAACACCCAACCAGAAAAGCAAAATGAAAAAAGAATCCAAAAATGCGAGGATAGTGTAAGGAGCCTCTGGGATAGCTTCAAGCATACCAACATCAGAATTATAGGGGTGCCAGAAGATGAGAGAGAGCAAGATATTGAAAACCTATTTGAAGAAATAATGACAGAAAACTTCCCCCACCTGGTGAAAGAAATGGACTTACAGGTCCAAGAAGCGTGGAGAACCCCAAACAAAAGGAATCCAAAGAGGACCACACCAAGACACATCATAATTAAAATGCCAAGAGCAAAAGATAAAGAGAGAATCTTAAAAACAGCAAGAGAAAGAAACTCAGTTACCTACAAGGGAATACCCATACGACTGTCAGCTGATTTCTCAACAGAAACTTTGCAGGCCAGAAGGGAGTGGCAAGAAATATTCAAAGTGATGAATACCAAGAACCTACAACCAAGATTACTTTATCCAGCAAAGCTATCATTCAGAATTGAAGGTCAGATAAAGAGCTTCACAGATAAGGAAAAGCTAAAGGAGTTCATCACCACTAAACCAGGATTATATGAAATGCTGAAAGGTATCCTTTAAGAAGAGGAAGAGGAAGAAAAAGGTAAAGATACAAATTATGAACAACAAATATGCATCTATCAACAAGTGAATCTAAGAATCAAGTGAATAAATAATCTGATGAACAGAATGAACTGGTGATTATAATAGAATCAGGGACATAGAAAGGGAATGGACTGACTATTCTTGCGGGGGAAAGGGGTGTGGGAGATGCGGGAAGAGACTGGACAAAAATCATGCACCTATGGATGAGGACAGTGGGTGGGGAGTGAGGGCGGAGGGTGGGGCGGGAACTGGGAGGAGGGGAGTTATGGGGGGGGAAAAAGAGGAACAAATGTAATAATCTGAACAATAAAGATTTAATTAAAAAAAAATAATAATAAAAATAAAAATTGTCAAAAAAAAAAAAAAGATTCAGAGACTGCTTAGTTTGCCAAGAGGCATCTTATATAAATTGCACACTTAGACTAAATTTTCCTGGCCCCTTGCAAAATTGCTCCCTCTGGGTTGTGTTTTAAGATTTTGATCTTGGCTTTTAGTAAAGAGCTATACAAAAATAGCCTTATGAAATCTGTTGTAGGGATGCTGTTGATACCATGCTAGCTAATATGAGGCATTTTTTTAGGGTTAATGTCTAGAAAACATTTTGTTTCCCTGAAAAACTGGTCTTTTTTCTCCTTGATGATAAGGAGAGCTATGCAGATAATCTTATTGCCATTTTTTCTTTGACTGCCAGGAAGTTCCTGGTGAAATATACAACTTATTATGCATAGTATTGGAAATTTGGTCAACTTGTCTATGTTCTGTTCTCTTTACCTCCTGTAAACATTTATATTTTTTCAGGTCCTTATGTTTTAATTTTTATTCAGTGTTAATTATACTGTTATACATGTTATCCATAAACTATCTTGGATCCTTTGAGAAATAGCATGTAATAGAAAAATTAACAAATCCTCTGATAAGAGAAGGCCTGAGCCCCTGCCATCTCCCCCTCACCCAACACACACAACATACATACATCTCTCACAGAGCACAAAGCCTTGAACAAATGTTTAATTCTTGGTGCCTTCATGGTCAACCCATCTGTTGCAGGCATATGAGGAGAACATGTACGGCAGCAAATACCAGTGGATCATCCCAGGCTGGTATGAGCCTTTCTGGTGGGAGCAGGTGCATACAGAGGCCAACTCATCCCGTTGTCTCCGAAAGAATCTACTTGCTGCCATGGAGGGCTACATGGGTGTGGACTTTGAACCCCTGAGCTCCAAGCAGATCAAGACCATCTCAGGAAAGGTCAGTGCCTTTGTCTGTCTATCTCAGCCCCCAAATCTCCTTTGATCATTTTATCTGATTATGTTGGCAAAACGTGCCCTTTATTGTGTGTCACTTGACCTCTCTGAGCTTCACATCTATTAAATGGGAATAGCCATCCATCCACTGCATGCCCCGCTAGGAAACTGGGGGCATCAAATAGGGTAAGGGTGTTTTGTAAGCTCATAACACAGTGTACATGTAAGAGGTAGAGTTGTGACTTTTACAGTACCAACTACAAGTGTTGCCTCTGAGACTCTGCTATGGTTTTATCCTGTGCCTGTCAGACCGGGAATATCGTTTCTCAGTCACACTGATGCTCCTGTCAACCCAGAGAAGAAAGACTCTCAAGTAGACTTGGGGAAACATGTGCTGCAGATCAACCAGACTGGTTTGAACCCCAATTTTGCCACTTACCAGCTATGATCTTGAACTTGAGTTCTCTGAGCCACTGTTTCATCTTTTGTATAATAGTAGTAAAAATACCCCCATCTGGGGTTAAAAGGAGGATTGATAGCAGATTGTTTAAGATGGCTAACATGGTGTCTGATACTTCAGTCCTGCCATAACTGGGAGGAGGACCTAGGCAGGGTGCTTAAGTCCTGGGGGCCTCCATATATTCTCACTAGGTGTTCTGAACCCCTGCCTTGCTTGTCCAGTAGGGCTATGAGGGACTCAGGCATTATCAAGAATCTGGTAATGACAGCCCTGGTGAAGATGGTAACACTCATCTCTCAATTTTAACTACCAGCCAAAATTCGATACAGTACACATAATTCTTTTCTGTCTTCTCAGAGCTCAGATCGTTAAATTCTATACTCAACTCCAGAATTCTTACAGACCCTGTTTCATTTAAAAAATAAACTTCATGTAAAGTAAAATATATATGTTTTATTTTTATCCATTATTTAATCTCAATTGGAGCCATTTCTATAAGAATGGTTTATTGATTTGTCAAGAAAATGCCAAATTATTAGGACACGTTTTGTAAACAACTCTTTAGAACATGCTGGCACCTGAGAGACCCTAGAAAAATACTCTGGTTAAGAAAGGTTGAAAGAAATATTTTTATACCAAAATCAATGAGTATATAAAAAGGATTTGAGATGCTGAGTAATGAGTAGAAACAACTCACTATATTTCAGCAAGTGTTATTATTAAAAGTGTCAAAGTTTGTACTTCATTAGAAGATAATTGGTGCAAGGATACCCTATACTTTAATCTAAAAATAGCATAAAATTTGAGGAAAATACAAAAACTAAGGGAAAAAATGCTATGCAGGCAGACAGTATAATAATTAAACGGAGAAACTTGAGGAAGACCAAATGATTACACATGAGTTTGTGAACCTGAGTGGGAGGTGAGGGCCATGGATGCCGGGGGAAGGGCCTCAGCTGTCATCCTCAGGAGCATGGATGTGATCCCAGGCAGGCGAGCCCAGATGTGAGCTGTGCACAGGAATGCATTTTGAGAAGGTAATTTTTTGCAGTGTTCCTCGGAGCAAATATTTTGACTTTATATCAAATCATTTCCCAGGTCAATGACCTCCCTTTTTTATTTCTAATTTAGGAAGAGGGAAGGCTGGTGAGGAGGCTGACCTTACCCCTCTATTGCTATGCCTGTGAATGGGCCACCTTGGAGCTATTCTTGGGCTGTTCATTTCATCCCACAGTGAGGGCAGCCCACTTCCTGGGCCTCCCAGGATGGAACAGTGCCATGGGAGCAGAGGCAGGCTCCCAGCTTGAGGCTGCTTCCAAAATTCCAGGAGGCAAAGTCTTTGAGGCAAGGGGCAGCATTTGTTACATTATCCAGAAGTTACAAGATGATTGAAGTTACACAGGGAGCCTTTTTGCCTCTTAGAATCAGAGGCCTTAGGGATCTCCTAGAGATCATGTAGACCAGCCTCCCATCAGATTTTGAAATCCTTCCAGTACCAAAGGACTCACTATTTCTCCCTTAATGTCCCCTACCGGTCCCTCTGGGCCCACACAGGTCCTTCTGTCAGTGACCACATCCCTGGAAGCATCCCTAGTACAAACTAAACAGCCTGCCCCTCCAGTTGTAACTCTCAGGTTCCATGCCTGGAACTAAGGGCAAAATCTAAGGGAGTGCCAAAAACCTCAGTAATCAAGATAAAAAAAATATGTAATGAAATATTTTTTAAAATTCAAAATTCCATGATGAACAAAATCACAATTTTAATCAAAGAAAAGATTCTCAGGACCAGGATTAGGGTGAGCTACGTGATTTGTCACATGATTGTAGGATTGAATCTTTTCTTTATTTAAAATGTTGATATTTCCATCATAGACTTTTTTTGCATTTGTTTTTATTTATTAAAATATTACTTATCTTGACGACTGAGGGTTTTGGCTCCCTCTTAAATTCTGCACTGGAAGGGAGCACCTCGATCGTCGACCCTCATCCTGGCCCTAAGTCCCTTCCTGAGCTCAGCCATCCTTCATGCTTGCTCTCGTTGAACGCTCTTTCCCCAGGTGAAGGGCCTGGAGTTCATAAAGCATTCCTATTTGTGGTCTGACCACAAGCCAGCTTCCCCAACCCGCCTTCAGAAGTCTATGGTCAAAAGAAGTTCTAGAGAGTTGAGAAATGTTTCTTGAATTTGAATTTGCATCTTACATGACTGCTGGGGATGGTGATCATCAAGGCACAGGCTGTTGGGTTGATGCCTGTATTTTGGGGTCCGTCAGTGTCCCTAAAACAAGCTCGTGTAGAACCAACCATTCCAAGTCAATGGGCTCTTGCCATTCTCACTATTTACATATAGGGACGCTAAAACACAGAAGGGACACCCCCAAGGTCTCTGTAGTAGGTTGAGTAGCGACCCCTAAAAAGATACGTCCAGGGCCTAACCCTTGGAACCTATGAACATGATCTTATTTCTAAAAAAAGGCCTTTGAAGACTTAATTAATTTACCAGTCTTGAGATAAGATTATCCTTGATTACCTGGGTAGGCCCTAAATCCCATCACAAGTGTCCTCATACAAGAAAGGCAGAGGCGATTTGTGACACGGAGAAGGCCACGTGAAGGCAGGGACAGAGACTGAGGTGCTGCATCTGCAAGACAAAGAGCGGCAAGGATTGCTGGCAGGCAGCGGAGCGGAGCGAGGAGAGGGCCAGAACGGATTCCCCCTCGGAGCCTCCGGAGGGAAACAATCCTGCCAACACCTTAGTTTCAGACTTCTGGTTTCCAGAAATGTGAGAGAATAAATTTCTGTTGTTGTAAGCCATCCGGTTTGTAAAAATTTGTTATGGCAGCCCCAGGAGATGGATACAGTCTTCCAGAAGGTTAGGGAGAGATCCAGGACTTTCAGCCAGGACTGCCAGTTTCCCCACACTGTGCACCTTCCTGCCTACCATGCAATCTCTCTAGACTTGTGACACACTTAGAAGCAGAATGCACCTAAATCAGCCTTTCCGTGACATCTCAGCAGGCCTCTGTTAGTAAATGGCACAGTAGGAGCATACGGGTCTGGTCATCAGGAGACCTGGCACAATCCTGGCATTCCCACCAATTAATCCACCACCTCAGCTAGTCACTCTCTCTCTCTCTCTCCCTGTGTCTCAGTATTTTCAACTGAAGATGAGAGATTTGGACCACAGAACTCCTGGTGTCCTTTCCACGATGAGCCCTCTGACTATGTAACTGTGGTATTGGGTAATTACATACAGCAAGATGTATGACACGATTATAATAATACTATAATAATACTAAACTCCGGAATCCCCAGGATAAAGGCGACTCCTTAGAGAGAAAGTCACAGAATCAGGTGGAACAGTTTTCCCTCTTGGAATGCATTCTCTAAGGTTCCCTCTTCCGTACGCTTGTCTCCAGCATCAAGCTGTCCCCAGCTCTCTCATTGGCACCCAGGAGATTTCTGGAAGGAGGAATAATAAGGTCATGGTCTCCCTCCACAGCACATTCATCAGTCCCTTCCTATTGGAATTTCCATTGATGGAGCAAGTACAGTCCTGGCTTCCCTGAGCACATTCAGAGCTCAGTCTTCTGAGCCTCACAATGACAGCTTCTGGGCACTTGGTTTGGCTTTTTCTCCTTGTTGAGGTTCCCCATCACCACTCTACTCTCTCAAAGTGACTCTGTGGACACTGGTAATTTCCAGTGTCAGCTTTCACTTTTCAAAGTCCTGTTAGGTTTGTTTCCATGCTTAGCATTTGCGATTCTGGCCAGGTTTCTCTGGTGATGGTTCAGCCACGCTGATAAGCCATCTTCCCATTACAGTTCCCCTACTGAGACACAGAGCTGGGCCAGGCACCAGATGGAGATGTTCACAGAACCTTGGGCTCAGTGGGGACCTCAGAAGCGGCCCTAACACTCTATCAAAGGCACGGGCTCATTATCTGGAAGAGTTTTGTAATGTTTTCTGGCAAGAACTTCTACAACCATCCTCAACTGCTTAATCAACAGAACTGGAGGAAACACAAATCTAGTTAGTTCTCAACCTAGAGCCAGTGACCGAGGAAATGCTGCACCCATCTCATTGTCATTGCCATGGGAGCTCCGTGACAAAGAACATGAAGTTTCTATGGATGAGATAATACATAAGAAAGTATCTTGCAAAGTGCCAGACACAAAGTAGGTGCTCAACAAATTGTAGTTCTTTTCCTTCTTCAGCACAGAAGCCTCAGGGGTAAGAAAAAGGAGCAGTGAGATGGATGATGTGGCCATAACTCAGTTATGTGAGGTGAGGAACAGCTGAAGGAATTGGGATTACTTTTGATTTTTAAAAATAATTATTTTTACTTAAGTAGAACACCCATATACCCACCACCCACGTAAAAAAAAAAAAAAAAAGAAAGAAAAGAAAATTACTAGCAATCCAAAAGCCATCCTCATGCCCTGTCCCATTCAATGTCTACAGCCTAAAGCAGTGATGGCGAACCTATGACATGCGTGTCAGAGGTGACACGCGAACTCATTTTTTTGGTTGATTTTTCTTTGTTA